TGCTGAGTCGACTCATCAGTATACGAGTCGACCCATAAGTCATGAGTCGACTCATAACAAACCATGAGTCGACTCATGAAGTCCTTTCCTGTTATCAAATGTGTTCTGCTGAGTCGACTCATAATTGAGCACAAGTCGACTCATCGCAGTATTTGCTTTCTGTTTCGTTTGTGCTTCTGTTTAAATCACCTGCTGGGTGTATATATATATATATATATATATATACAGCGTTTACATATTCAAGGGTACTGTCTATCACGTTTGAACTTGAGGAGTGCCTTGTTTATTGAGTACTTAATTGTAGTGACTATGATTTCACCTGTACATGTAAGATGACATTTCGGACACAAGCTTAAGTCAGTACAGCAGGGTACGTACGGGAATAAGACATGCATACCTTCTTATACGCAGTCCTCGTGTTGGACTATAATCCATAAAAGTCCTCGTGGTTGGACTATAATCCATTAAAGTCCTCGTGTTGGACTATAATCCATTACTGTCATGTTTTAGACTTTTGCTAAACCTTGAGCATGTTACTAAATCAAGTTTGGGTACACGACATATTGTATGAGCCTGGGACATAATAGCTACCTAGGCTGGACATGTCACCTATTGTAGCTTTGACAGGTTTACATTTTATTGGTAGAGGTAGGTTTGTATTCATTTCTTTATTTTTTGCTTGTGACAAATCTCGGGTTTGATATTTAGGGATTTACAATTTGAGATACAAGGTATATACATGAGGGTTTCCTTGTTTGGATTATTTCGCTCGACGTACATATGCTCGTGTTGTATTTCCCTAAGTACTAAAACCCATTATTGTTTGTGTAAATGATTTATATTATTATGTATTAACTGTATTTTCATACACAACGAGCCCTATCCCTTGGGGTTGGTTGTGATGTTGCTCGCTAGCGCTTTGACGCTCGTTGTCCCTCCCCCTTTTAGGTAACGAGCCAGGAGCCCGAAGAGTCGCAGGTTGAGGGCGACCCTTACTAGTGTCTATTATCCTCTTTTTAGATGTATTTATTTTTGTACTCCACTTGAGACATTTTAGACTTGAGTGGTTTATGTTCTAGAGTTATAAAGGTTGTGTGCCTTATTTCCTATATCAGACATTATGTACTTTGAGACATGTTGAGGTCTCCAGATCTTTATTATTCATTTCAGACTTTGACTATGTACTTCAGCTTATTTGATTTATGAGATGTATTAATTTGAGTCCTATTATTTCATCAAACATTTGTTGTAAAATCTTTTACTTGCTTTGTACTACACCTGTTGTTGATTCCACTAGAGGGATAGTAATTGTGATGGTGAAACATGTTATTGCACGGTGTGGTGCATGGCAGGTTTGACATTTCTGGTTTCACCTCGGACTGCAACCTTGTGTGAACCCAGGGGCGTCACATCCTCTCTAAGCGAATATCATTCGTAGCATAGAACCTCTTGAACTCCTCCAGCAAGTATTCTCCACCATTGTCTGATCTCAGACACTTCACGTTCAGCTCTGTCTCGTTCTCCACCATGGCCTTCCACTTCTTGAAGACTCCGAACACCTCTGACTTGTGCTTCATGAAGTAAACCCACACCTTTCTTGAGTGATCGTCGATGAAAGTGACATAGAATCTCGAACCGCCAAAAGAAAACACACTAGCTGGACCCCATATATCTGTATGAATCAACTCTAGCTTCTGAGCCTTAGGTGGCCTTCCACCCTTCTGGAAACTAAACCTCTTCTGCTTTCCAAAGATGTAGTCTTCACAAACCCCGACTTCCACGGAGTCGATCCTAGTTAGCTTTCCCTGTGAATGTAAGATATTCATCCCCTTCTCGCTCATGTGCCCTTGCCTGTTGTGCTACAGATCTGTACTCTCTTTCCCAATTGTAATTGCGAGGGTGTTACTCGCATGTGAGGTGAGGTAAATAGTCCCTAATTTGTTGCCTCGGAGAACTACCATTGTACCGTTAGAGATTCTCCATGAATCCCTTGTGAATATCGAAACATAGCCTTCTGCTCCAAGCTGTCCCACCGAAACAAGATTCATCTTCAGCTTCGGTACGTGTCTCACGTTCTTCAAGTTCCACTTAGAGCCCTTCATCTGAATCTGCACATCATCCTTTCCAATAATATTACAGGGCTCATTGTCCCCCCAATACACTTTTTCAAAGTCCCCTACTACATAATTCTGAAAAAGCTTCTTATTAGCAGTGGCATGGAAAGAGGCTCCTGAGTCAATGACCCAAAAACCTGAATCGCTGTCCATAGCAAGAATCAAAGCATCCTGCACGATATGAGCCTCCTGCTTACTCGGATCCTTCTTTGGACTCTTGCAGATTGAAGATATATGGCCCTCCTGGCCGCAGTTCCAACACTTTCTTTTGATAGACCTAACCTTCGAGTTCGATCTCTTCTTCGACTTCGACCGATTCCTGTTCTGATTCCCTTTCTTTTGGCTTCTGCCTCTCTGCTCGAAACTTAGAGCTGAACCTGAACCTTCTAATTCAGACGATTTTCTTCTGACCTCCTCGGATAGAATCATACTGACCACTTCACTCAGCTTTAAATTTTCCTTTCCCGCCGAATTGCTGATTGCCGTCACACAACCTGCCCAACTATCCGACAACTACGATAGTAATAAAAGGGTCTGCACTTCGTCATCAAACATGATGTCTATGGAGATAAGGTGATCAACAATCGTGTTGAACTCGCTGAGGTGCATCGTGAAGGACCGTCCTTCTGCCATCTTGAGGTTGAAAAGAGTTTTTACCATATGCACATTGTTTGCTGCAGATGATTGCTCGTACATCTTCACGAGCGCTTCCATAAGCCTTACCGACGTCTTCTCCTTCAAAATATTGTGGGCTACTGTCTTGACGAGCGATAACCGGATTTGTCCTAGAGCCTTCCTATCCAGTTTCTCTCAATCATCGTCTGACTCCTCTTTCTTCTGTCCCTTATCATTGCCCATCAACGGACGATACAAGTCCTTCTGGTATAGATAGTCCTCCATGTACGACTTCAAGTAGGCTAAGTATGAACCGTCAAACTTCTCGATCTTAGATTTGATTTCCTCTGCCATGACTTTCTCACAAATTACTGAACGAAGCCCTTATACCAGTTGTTAGGGATTCAAAATAGTCAAATCGAACCCTTACTCTTTCGGACCTTGTTAGAAAGTTGAGCAAGAAAGAAATTCACCACAATAAAGATCAAAACTTGCAGGAATAGTAAAAGAGACGAACACACAGATTTAATGAGGTTCGGCAACGTGCTTATGTTCTCGGGAGCCACACCACATAATTCTTTGATTAATTGAAGAATGAATACAAGCACTCAAACTAGGGTTTAATCTCACTAAGATTCTCTCTCTCTAAAACTCTCTTTCAGATAGTTTCTGATGGTCTGATAAACCCTAAAAATCGTTTGGGTATTTATATCAATCTGAATCAAAACAGAATCCAAAACAGTTTAGGAAACTGTCCGCTTGACTCGTGGTCGGCCGCCGAACAAGTCGCGGTCGACCGGATAAACGACAGAATCCAGACTACGCTTACAGGGTTTTCACGGTTGACCAGATCTTCTGTCGCAGTCGGCCGGAAAAAGTCCAGAGACTTACTTAGCTCCAGCGTCCAGGCGGGGTCGACCGCACCAACCACCGCGGTTGACCGAAAAAAGTCCAGAGACTTTTTCCTGTCTCGTGCACGTCCACAGTCGACCGTCGAGACCACCACGGTCGACCGTACTGTAGTTTTCTTGTTTCCTTCATTTTGCTTCATCTTTCTGATTCCAGCTTTGGCTTCAGCTTTGGGTCTACACTTAGACTAACAGATAAAGATACATTTGATTCATCAATAGAGGGAGAACACAAGCTCTTGGAGGATGGAAATTCGTCATTCTAGACTTCTTTAAGAGTCACAACGAGGGTCAGATTAGAACCAGAATAGGAGGACATCCACGTAGTAGGGAAGTCTGAACCATCACCTCATTGCCATTATTGCATTACAGTTTTTTCTTTTTTTGGACAATTAGTCCCGGCCTTCTTTTGATCAATGAAAATATTTATTCATTTTTTAAAATTGAAGTTGTGAAGTACATCAAAAACTATCAGAACTATAACTGGTAATCAACTAAACAAAAGATTACATTTTCTCAATCTTCTCTCTCATATGAAAAGGAATTTTTACATTAAGAACTTTTAAGAAAATAGAGATCTTCACTTCACGGAATAACTGATTAGGTTCACAAGCTTTTTGCTGAAAAATCCTCAAGTTCCTTTCCTGTCATATTCAATACACTGCCACTGATAGAGCCATTTTTATAACTTTTTCATGAATCCAAGACCTTTCAACCACTGATAGAGCCATTTTTTATAATTTTTTTATGAATCCAAGACCTTTCAAATTGAAGCTATACCATGAGATTATTTGGTTCAGCTGCAAGACCTCTATGTACAATCCAACCAGTCTATCACTTTGCTCCAAACATAAGCAGAATATTGGCATTCAAAAAGTAAATATTTGCAAGTTTCCAATTGACGATTTGAATTTGAACATAAGACACACTGGTTTGCGTCTAACATTCCCATTCGGCACAATCTGTCTTGGGTCAGAAGTCTGGAGAGGATGGCTAACCATAATATAAAAGAGAGTTTTGGGTAGTGCAATCCCCCCAAATTGTATCAGACCAAGCTAGTACACTTGGTCTGATACTTTGCACATTTGTTACTTTGCACTTTGGTCCATTTCATTAAACTTCTATCAATAAAACATAGGGATAATTTCCTGCTATTTTCATTCAGGAAAAAACAATATATTACACTTAAAATTTTGAAATTATTCAAAAATGTTTGAGGCAGCTTTAATTTGCATTCAAACATGATATAACTATCAAAATATTACTTAATAATGTGACGTTTAAAGATTTACAGACTAATAGTTAAAGTAATACACAAACAAGCCTCTCTGACAGTTTTATCGGGAGTTAAATAATTATGGGACTTCTCTTTATAAGTATCCATCTTTTAGAATAATGATATTCAAAAACATTTTATTACATAATATTTGATTTGAGTACGACTTTATTTTATTTATGGGGATCACATCTCCCGCACTATTCCACGATATTTTCGACAACCCGTGCCGCCTTGCACTGTGGAAAAAATGAGAGAAAAATTAATAAACAGTTGAAAAGAATATATTAATTAACAGATGACCGCACTTTCAATCTAATTTGAGGGCAATCTAGACAGGAAACGCGCATAGGAAGGTAGGATGATGAATAGTTGTTAATTACTAATTCCAAAAAGCAAAATAAAAAAAAATTGAAGTATTTGTATATTTGTGATCTAAATCAAGTAAAATTATTCATTTGGGAAAAAAAGTTTGATAGTGATACAAAAGCCACATTGCTAATGATAGAATTAACTGGCAATTAGCACATTACTTTAAAAACATTAATTAAGTCAATTGGCACGTTATATGCTTTAAAAAATATATATGGAGATATTTCAAAGACAATAAATGTTTCATCTAATAGCTCATTATAAAAACAGATTGACTATAAAAAAATTACTAAAGTTATACTTCAAAACACTCATATATATATACTAGAATTTAGAATAATACCTCATTATTGTAGGCTCTGATACTGCTGGCGAGCAGATAGTCATCATTGACTATCAGTCTGAGATGATCAACCATCATGCGACGAGTAATTTTTCGCTCCTGCTTTACATGTATTCGCATCAAATTCATGAAAAATAGGTATAACATATAAATAGTAAATAATTGCAACTATTTTCTTACCTTGAAGTCTTTCCCAAGGTTTTGGATGGAGCTCATCTTATCATTCGACAGAGAGTTTGATAGTTTTTCGATCAGTTTCTAGATGGGAATAAAAGGCGAAGTTGGACTATTTGCTACGTTACTTTCTTTGGCCGGATTTGAACTTGAGGAGCCTTCTCCGTGGATAGTTTTCCCCATATATCTTTATAAGTTCAGATTTTCCCGCCATATTATTTTCTATTTTTCATCAGTATAAAAGGAGTAAATAAAGTCAGATATGCGAACATAACTTCTATCTTGCAAAAAGTACTGTGCAATGTTCTAGCAGTTCACTTTCACTAAATAATTTTACCATTATTCCTCAGTTAACATAATATACACGAAACTAGAAATTGTAGTCTTTGCATAACTAATATAGATACCCAAGTTCTTTTGGTACTTTGATATACTACAACAAAAGTTGCATATGCTCACACTTATGTTATGACACATGTAGAAGTGTTGTGCTAATCGCAAAGGATTAAACAATAATGACACAAATAAAAAAAAATTGTCAGTCATGACACCTAGTGGTGTCATTAGATACAAAATAAAATAAAAGTATCATAAATATGTGTCGCAAGTTGTGACACATTTCCACATGTGTAGAAAGATCGTCTCCACACATGCTTTGCCCACACTTTCGACTTGTGTCATGCTCCATTCGTGCGACACAAAGATGTGACGCGAGATGATAAAAACGGTATCACAAGTTACAAATATTGTTAAAGTTAACTTCGAATTTTAGCAATCAGTCAATAAGCAAATTTCAATTAACACTTTGTTTAAATAAGCTGAAGAGCCAGCAAGTCCAAGCATTAGATAAGCAGATGTCAATTAACATATACTTAATAAAAATATATTCTTAGTGGTTTCAGCTCAAAATATTAAGTCATTACTATTCATAAACCAATACATAAACATATTATTAAATTAGTAAAACTATGATCAAATTAACAACAAGAGTATATTTGAAAAGTTATACAACACATTAAAATAAAATCAGAACAAAGTAATAGATAATAAAAATAACTAATAATAAAAGAGCACCTTACGTTGATTCTTCTCCTTTTGATTTTTGTTAAATATTCAGGTGACGCAAGTGGAGAGTGCGGATAGGTATTTATAATATGAGTTAAGATATAGTCACATATTTCCTAATTGGTAAAATTGGCCGTCAAGTTTGAAGCACACAAACTATGCATGTATGCATAAAGCACCTTTGATGTTTGCTCCTCAAGTAATTCTAGCTTCCAAGAATTTGGACATTTCAGCCTATTGGTGCATTTTCTCTAAATCATCATCCCATAAAATTGCAAATGATATCCTCTTAGAACTTCAATTAGTAATATGACCGACGATTTGCAGAATCCGTTCAATAGATGTGTAGCCTGTGCAGTATATATGTATATACAATTTTTTTCCTCAAAAATGAACCATAGTTTTTTCAGTAACCCAGGACAAGTTGCTTAGAAAATTTATTGGCCAGAGAAAATAATGAACACACAAGCTATGCATAAACACAATCCAAATTAACAGAAAAAGTAATTTTTCTTTAAAGTTTTTTCCAACATGATGTTGTTACCCTAAAGTGCACTCTTCAATGTAGAAAAGAAGTTCTTAGTACATTAGTCATGGTAACAATTCTCTTAAGATGCTGTTCTGATAAATCAGTAAAAAACCTTAAGACTAAATATATTCTATTTTAACGTAGATGAAACATCTATAATAACAACCAAATGTGGATATGAGCGTATTTCTAAATTTCAAACGTTTCATGACTTTTGGACCTTCTAATCTTACCCTTCAAGAAATGGATTCAACTCAAATATAAGTAATATGTTTTACTGGTCTTTTCGCTCTGAACAATTACCACTAATCTAAAAAATGATGTTAATTCCTATTTGAGATGATCCACTTGATAGAAACGAACTTTGTCTGGGCCAGTCTAGATTGGCTCTTAACACAAAGCATAGTTATCTACGTGTATATTTTCTTTTATCTTCACTATCTTTTTATTTTACTTTTCTACTGTACCACCTCAAGTTTTTTCCCCCTATATTATAAAAATATTTTCAATCTCTTTCCCAAGCGTGAATTTCATCAAATTTTCCTTGAGAATTTATGGTTGCGCAGCAACATCTTATAAAGAGTTTAAATAGTTTGCCAATACGAATAAACTCATTAACAGTTTAGACATTCAGTAAATAATTTGACTTCAAGGTGACACATGCACTTAGTCTGTAGAATTTGGCTTTCACACAAACCATACATAAAATAGACTAGATTAACTATAGTAATAGTAACGGTGAGAATAACAAAAACATGAGAACAATAATAACGAAGTAAACCATATAGAAATACATAAAGAGAAGGAAAAGGAAAATAAGTAGAAAATCAATAATGTTAGCAGTAAAAACAAAAGCAACAACAAGAACAAGGAATGCAATACACGTCAATAACATTTGTAGAAAAACAACAATAGGTTTAGTGATCACCAAAGCTTGATCCAAGGAGCATCTTGAGATTTCTGGATAAAAATGTAGCATAAAATTAATTAGTCATCAAAGCTTGGTACAAAAGAAGCTACTAACCACAGAAGATTACAATAGCAACGATATCAGTTTCTCACATAGTGTTAGCACTCTTAGAATTGTTGTCTTATTGGTGAAATCTTGCCAATTTTTTGACTGTTGATTGAAAGACCTGAGTCCTAAATCAATCCAAAACACTAGACCAGGTACCTGCACTTAAAAGATTTGGTTAACGGTAATGTAAATACGGATACTATTTGCCAAGTTAGAAAAAAAAATTCAGAAAAATAAACAGTTAATCAGTATTGTTCCAACTTCTTCTTTTCAGTAGAACTAGCTATAGGGTACAAGTCTTGAGTTATAAAGCGTAATGAATTTGTACATCCAATTGAATGAGCTTAATTTATTGCATTACATATAAGATATTGGTGTGGCAGTTTACATTGACATGAGTTAGTATCTCATATGGAGTTTAGGATTTTTTTTTTCTTTTTCTTTTTTCGCAAGCAAATAAACAACCCTGATCTTCTAGCTATCAAAGCATTCTCGGAGGCCATCAGAAGCAAGGTTGTCTTATATATAATGTTTGTGTACAACTAACAATTAAAGCAAGTTTGGGTACAAGTAACAATTGAAGCAAACATATTATCATGGTGAGATCAAGAGAAGAACCAGAAGAATGATTCCCTACCGTTCGAAGAATCACAATAAATACTCTCTGAGCCATGTATCATGCCAAGCCGGTTATGAACTTTGAAGTTGTGACATAACATAAAAGCTAACTTAACATTAATTTTAAGACAAGTCCCTCAGGATTACATAATTAAATTGTTTGTGAAAATATTATCTCCAGATCTAACCTCCTATCCACTTAGGTAATGTTGTATTATTAACTATCCGCAAGAACAACTGGAGGTTGAATGTGAGGAAGCAACAAACGACATGGGATATGGACTTGCGATCAAAATCCTGAGTCATACACGTTAATTACAAGCTTGCCAATTGGAACATGACACTGGATGGCATCATAAAAGTCTGAAATGCGACTAAGTTGCCAAATATTAACAGTTGGCATATGATACGTCAATTTTTGGGTAACTTTGCCAAGAACCTTTCCAAATTGACAAAAAATGGCATGGAAAAAAGATCTGTAGGTGGTGGACTGGTATCTTTCTCTCCTATTGGTTATTTTTTGACTTAAACATTCAGCTCCCCATTTGGAGCATGATGGTGAACTCTAAGGTGTCAGTTGGCAGATGACACTAAAATCATATTGATTCCTTTGCTCAGAATTTTCCCAAACAGCCAGAAGATTCTCTTGGTATCTCCAAAAAGAATAAAAAAAGAGGAAAAAACATAGTGATCTCTCGATAAGAGGATTCAAGACTCTCATCAAGACATCGACACAGTTAGCTATTTGTTTTGTGCATGTTAGGATAACTGGTGGTTAAGATGCAAAAGGATGTTGCGGAAGTCAATTTTTTAGTGTAATATTATGGTATTTTTCTAATGGCTGCTGTTCTATTTTCTAATTTTGTTATGACTATGACATTTCTATGTTGCTTTATGCTACAAACATTTGGTACAAGCTCAAATTATGTTTTATATGGTGGTTAATGGTCAGTAAGCTGCCAACCAACCTGAGGTGAATCTACCATCTATATCAACTAGTCATTAAGTCAAATCTTGTCGTTGACCCTGAGTTTGCAAATAATAAACCAATATTATATAACAGGGTCCAGTTTGTATATATCAGAACATATATGCAATTTTCTGACTTAAACCGAAGCTTAATTAATTGTTTACTTTCCAGATTCTAGGGCATTGGACTGAACAATGTTGAACTCAAGGATTCCTGCATTTTGAAGGTTGCTTTGCCAATTCAAGCTGAAGCCTGGTTATAAGTATTCCCTGCATTTTGTCGACAATTTTTTTTCTTTTCCTTTTTTTTGGGTTGAGATAAATTTCAGGTGGCAAGCTGAAGCCTGATCACTTCTTGTAACACTATAAAGAGGAGTATCTGGAAGATTTTTCCTTTCAAGATAATAGTCTACAGGTATTATATTGAATCTGAAGGAAACAATAACTAGGGAACAAACACGTATAATGAAGTGGCCTAGATCTCATGTCTAATTTTCCAGAGAATCGAAGCTAGAAAAATTTCTTCACAATGGTTACACAGAAATCAGCACTAGCACTGTAGAGCATATACCATGTAGAAATACCTGCAACCAGTTAAAATGTTTCCTCAAGAAAGAGTTAAATATGATTATTTTCAAAGAGAAAAGTCTGGTCCTCAAGAGGCATATTCAAATATTAAAATGTAATAAACAACAAGCTTTAACTTAATTAAATTACATCACGAAATCTACATAGCGTTACATGCATCGGTTATAGCATTAGAATGACTTCAAAACTATTGAGATTCTGAAGCCAATGTTGTTATGTTCAATCAAAGGAGACACCATGATTTTGCTAAACACCGTACAGATGCAGAGGGGAAAACTGTAATGAACCCTCAGATTGCCCTGCTAAGCCCTCAGTAATTTATAGGATTTATGTGATAATCAAGCTGATCATGATGACTATTGCAGTTTTGATACTTCTTCTAACTAGATGCCAGCTATTGTTTTGCTACTGCATACTACTCAGTAAAGGCATAAATTGACAACGTAATAAACATGAACTGAGCCGGCAAATGGGCTCAGGATCAGCATGATTCAAAGACAAGTGATGGTTGCCAACCACTTACTAGCTCTGCCATTTGGATCATTGGCTAGAAGCTTTTAGATATGTAAAATCAAACAGAACTATGATTATAAAAGGAACATTGGCCAAATACAACTAAGTTTTTGTGACTTTGGTGATTCTCCGTATCCCAGAAAATAATTTCTACTTCCAAATAACAGCTGCTAAATTCTTTGCAGATAGGGAAATTGTTGAAGTCAGCAGCTCCCTTCTCCCCAACCTAAGTCAGCCACCAATGCAATAGTAACCAACAACCCCCGAATAGTGTATACCTACCCCATAAGAAAGCCTATATATACCCTCCTAAATTTGATTTGTAAGGCATCAAAATAGCAAAGGAAAACAAAGAGAGAAATAAAGAAAAAAATAGTGAGTGCTTGTAAAAGAATGTACTCATATTAGAGAGGATTGAGTTTGTACCACTAAAGAAATAATAACAATATATTTTTTACTGTCTGCCACTCCTCTAAACTCAACAAATAATATCAGAGCCTAGCTTAGATGCGTGTATTTGCTTATCGTTTGCTCTATGGTTACCACTAAAAATGGATCCTCCACATCAGAAAATAAGTTAGATTATTATTTACCCTTTGAAGGCACTCGACACTATTCACGAGTATGGTACTATTCATAAGTATGGTTACTATTCACGAGTACTGTTACTATTCTCGTGAAATAGTAGAAGTTGCAGTTCGTGATAGAAGCAAGGCGGTCAGGGACCTGTTCCCTCCTATGGTGATCCTATAAACATTCTTGAAGGCCGAAATTTGTGTTAAGTCTGGGATTGTGAAGTTGGTTGGTCAGGGACCAGACTTGCATGGAGATACTGAAGCAGTATCATGTCACGATGGCGGATCTAGCAAATATGACTACTACACTCAAGAAAACTCAACGGTAATAACTATAACTACTAGGAGACGTGTATGAAGTCCTATTTATAAGGACAAGACCACTGGGAGGTCATCGGGGGTGCTGAAACTACAGCACCTCAGGAAGCTGAAGAAGCACTAAAAAAGTGGAATATCAAAATCGGCAAGGCCATGTACGTATGTGCTGAAGATGATAGTAGAAGAAGATCTCGTAGATTATATGTGAGATGCTAGAACTCCGAAGGAGGCATGAGATACGCTGGCGATACTATTCTCGAAAAAGAACGATGCTCGACTTCAACTCCTGGAGAATCAACTGATGACCTTGCAACAGAAGGATCTGATAATCAGTTAGTACTTCAAGCAAATCACTGTGTTCAGATATTGCTCAACTAGATCCAGATTCTAAAATATCCGATGCAAGGATAAGAAGAATAATCATTCATGGTTTGAGATCGGAATATCACGAACTTGTTGATGCTACACATGGGTGGCTGACTCAACCAACATTATTAGAGTTGGAGAATTTACTCTCTACATAGAAAATCCTAGCCAAACAAATGGCCGGCATCTCAATAAAAGCAAAGATGAAGCACTCTTCAACAGCAAGGAGAGAAGCAAACCAAGAGGCACGAGAAAAGAGGAGTATGAAAAGGCTGGTTCAAGGAGGCAGCCAGGACAGTCATACACTAACAGAACACAACAGTGTGAGGAACAAGGTGATCGTCGAGTAAGGATACCTAACAGTACCTGCTACAACTGTGAAAAGAAAGGACACTTCACCAGAGACTGCCGCTATAAGAGAAGGCTTGTAGAGGGTAATGCTGTAACATCGCGTAGATATCAAGATGATGAAGAAGAATGGGATGCCCAAGCATCCGTGGCCATCATTGAAAATGTACCAGTCGACAAAGACGAGGTTGTTGGTATGACACTAACCTTGATTGTAGAAGAATCTGAGTCTGCATTTACAGCAGTTTTAGAGCGAGAAGAAATCGGCTATAATAAAGACTGGATTGTCGATTTTTCCTGTTCTAACCACATGACGGGAGATAAGGGGAAACTTGTCAACATGAAGGAGTATAAATGTGGCCGAGAAGTTGTGATAGCAAATAATTTAAGATTACCTATCATACATCAGAAAGATTGTGTTTACGCCACGCTATAACCCGAATCGAATACAACTACAAGATATATACCATGTACTGGGTATGGAAAAAGAACCTTCTATTTGTTTCCCAATTAACAGCTTCTGGAAACTATGTAGTATTTGGGTCACAATATGTAAAAATCTATCGAAACTTGAAGCCACCACGAGAACCTATCATGGAGGGATGAAAGGTAGAATCTGTCTATGTGATGTCAGTGGAATCGACATACATATATAAGACTAGAAAGAATGAGACGGACGATCTGTAGCATGCTTGGCTTGGCCATGTGAGTTATCACAAGCTCAAGATTATGATGGAAAAGTCAATGTTGAAGGGTCTTTCACACTTGGAGATTCGAGAAGGGACCATATACGAAGGTTGTCAGTATGGTAAGGCGCATCAATTATCATACCAGGAGTCACAATTCAGAATAAAGGAATCTTTGGAGCTCGTGCACTCAGATGTATTTGGCTGAGTAAAGCAGGAATCGATAAGTGGAATGTGGTAGATGATCACATTTACTAATGATTATTCGAGGTATGTCTGGGTTTATTTCCTTAAGGAAAAATCAGAAGCACTCTCCAAATTCAAGCAATTCCGAGAAGTAGTTGAAGGACAGCTCGGCAAGAAAATTCGTTGTCTATGCACAGACAACGAGGGAGAATACACATCGAAGGAGTTTTACAACTACCTAAAGCATCACAAGATTCGACGACACCTAACACGCCCAAATACTCCGCAGCAGCATGGCGTAGCTGAAAGAGTGAATCGTCATCTCACCGAAATTTGCAGAAGCATACTTCATGTCAAGAACGTGCCAGGATGTTTTTAGGCTGTGTGTGAAGACTGCGGTCCATGTGATCAATCGGCTACCACAACCAAAATTAGAGTTCATATCACTGTTTCAGAAGTTGTGGAATATCAACCAACCGTAAACACCATTTTAGAGTTTTTGGTTGTATATGTTATGTCTTCGTGCCTGATCACCTTCGCATCAAGTTTGACAAAAAGGCTGTAAGATGTATTTTTGTGGGGTATGAGAGTGAAAGAAAAG